AATAAAGTCAAAAGTACAATATTTCCCTCTGAATTGTGGAGCAGAATTGTAAAGTAGCATGAAGTACGTCAGATTTGTACTTAAATCCAGTACAGTCACATTCCACCACTGAGCTCAACAGAGAAATACATAAAAACCTGACTGCAGAACTTTTGAAGTTTAAGTAAAATTTTATTATTTATGTGCAAAGTTTTGTTTCTGTGTATCAACCTAAATGTGTGGATTGTTATCATGGATGTTTTTAAGCAGTCCCGCTTCTGTATAAAGGAGTTCAACAATAAAGGCAACTTCAGTGTATCATCCTCACCCTCCCATGGAAGCCCTGGAGTCTGACCCAATCACGACCCCTCCATCAAAAGTGGCAGCCAGGATGGTGGTCTGAGGGAGGAGAGGGGAGAAGAGTGTGATTGTTTATACGTTTAGATCCTCCAGGGCCATCACAGAAGAGAAATATACATTGTACATTACATACAAATATACCATTGGGGTATACAGTATCATAAATACTACTCCATGTTCATTCATGCTGACTGAACACTATGAATTCTGGGATTTAGAGTTCTGTGGAGGGAGGTTTTTTTAAGGGGATATTAACTGAAAATGAAACCGTAGCCAGTTTTTTTGTAGAAATGTCACAAATAAACTCAGTCAGGGCTAACATGGGAACAAGTTACGGATAATAAAACACGTGGAATATCCACTCGATGACATTTCCCTTTGTGTTAAGTCACTATTCAGGTATAGCATCACCTGTTCCTCCGCGAAGTCGATTATCGATCATTTTACGCGTAATAGGCGTTGGTACAGCATTTATAGATAAAGATACTGGTGAACCGGTCCGGATTTACTCACCCCTGTGCTGACTCCTTTGACTTGTGAGTTCGTGCAGTGTTTCTCCATTTTCACTCCAAAATCGAAAGAGAAGAAGGAGAGGTGACGCTCAGAACAGCGACCTCAGGCGCACGGAGACGCGCAGAGAAGCCGCAGTCAGATCCAGTATGGCGCTATCAAATGTCCTCGAAACTCCTGCAGCGGGGTTTAATTTCGACAACGCAGCGAGGTATGAGCTTCTTTTTATGTCTTGTGAGCAGCAGACTGTATTATTAATGACAGTAGATCAAATTAATCTGACGGTTACACTGAGCTTTCACCGAGATCAAAAGTGAAAGTAACTTTTTCCTGCTTGTTTATCAGTTGAATCAATGAAACAATAGTGATGATGTGTTCACGGTTATTATAACTATTATATTTATATTCCTCAGTTTATCCTTCTATTTTACCCCCTCCTCCATCCCTCTCTCTAGGAATGCTGCATTAGATGGTCTTTTTGATGGAGGACAGACACCTAAACCTCTGAAAACAGGCACCACGATAGCAGGAGTGGTGTTCAAGGCAAGTATAAAGCAGTTCACACTGAAAATATTAATGGACCTAAACAGTGTTTGTCCATGAACTATGAATTGGAGACTTTGCATTGCTTTTAAAATCATTACAGATGTATTTATTACATGCTGTCACACATACTTTTTTTTTATTTTTTAAAGTTATCTTCTCTGTTGTTGTGTAGTTGTGAGCACAGATTCTCCATGAAACTGTATTCAAGGCCTCTCAAACCTGCAAACGACACATATTTAGTATTTAGTGGCTTTAAAAATGTTGCTTTTTAGCAGGAAACTCATAAATTTCATATTCTGGAGCATCACTGAACACAACAAGGAAAGTGTTTTATATTAGATCTAACTTTACAAGTATTGAGAAAGAAGAAGAAATACAGTGTTATAAACTCCTTGTTCGCACTGGGATTGTCACAATGCATAACTTTGACAGTAACATAGATTCAATGAATGTCCACTATGATGGTATAAGGTAGTTTAAAATATATGCAGTTAATGTTTATATTGACACCAAAGGCTGTCTGTAAGTTAGTTTGGAGAGCCATAGAGTAAGGACATTTATATAATTATGCTTTTGTATGTTAAATAGTGAACGTGTCTGCAGTTGTAGATAATGGGCTAAAACATGCAAATATTCAATGGTTATATGAAGTTGAAATGTTATTGTTATTCATTCATGCAATTCCACACATTTTCACATGGGACTGTCCAGTTCATCCACAGTCATCCACTGCTGGTGGGCAACTGAGATTTTAGGGCCTTTCCCCAGGGCAGTAGTATAGAGCTGTATGGAGCTTTGGAGCTTTATAAATATAATTTGCATAATAAACTTGGTTACTATGATCCCAATTTGTGTGTGTTGGTGCAGGATGGCGTGGTGCTGGGCGCAGACACAAGAGCTACCTCCAGTGAGGTGGTGGCCGACAAGATGTGTGCAAAGATTCATTACATTGCTCCCAATATATAGTAAGTCTCATACATGGTACACTGAAACCATGAATGGAGTGATTTCCAAAATTCCCTATAGTGGTCTCTTCCTGTCTGACTTCCCAATTCCCTTTTTCTTTTTCTTCCTATCCCTTCTCTCTGCTTTCACAATCTCTCTCTCTCTCTCTCTCTCTCTCTCACTAGTTGTTGTGGTGCAGGTACAGCAGCAGATACAGAGAAGACCACAGATCTTCTCTCCTCCAACCTCACCATCTTCTCTCTGAACAGCGGGAGGAATCCTCGTGTCGTCATGGCCGTCAACATACTACAGGATATGCTGTACAGGTTTGTGTTACACACACGTACTGCATCTAGAGGCGTGTTAATGAGTTTTACTCACAGTTCATTAGAAAAACGTCCTGCTTCTTATGTTTTGACCTCTGTGGCCCTCAGGTATCACGGCCAAATTGGTGCCAATCTTATATTGGGAGGAGTAGATTGCACTGGGAACCACCTTTACACAGTGGGGCCATATGGGAGCGTGAATAAGGTGCCTTACCTTTCAATGGGTATGTGACATAAGACTGTTACAAACAGTGGCAGCACCGTTACTGTGACATCTTTTCTTTGATTCTTTGTTGGTGGAGTTTATGTGATGCTATTACTCTTTTTTTCTTGTCTTTTCAGTTGTGCTGTTCAATTCAGTTCAAATCATTTTTATGTTTATAGCACAAAATCATAACAAAAGTTATCTCAGTACACTTTTTAAACACTTCTTATGAAATTATTTGCTATAATATACTAATATAAATTATGTCAAACATTTTTATTTTCTGCAGTTATACATTTTATTCACTCTCCAATCTGTTTAATCTGTCTTTACTTTGTCTCCATGCAGGATCTGGTGATCTGGCTGCTCTTGGGATTCTAGAGGACGGGTTCAAACACAACCTGGAGGTACGTCACCTGGACATCTAAATATTGTGACAATGACTGTTAGTCGATTATTAAGACATTATCACAATATTATTTCACTTACTTTTGGGTATCTTTAAGTTAATTGTAGCACAGTTGAGAAAATGTTAAAAACCATTAATTCTCTTCCCTAATAAAGTCTGTCTGTTACCAAATAGAAAACCTGAAAGAGTGTGTAGGTATTTGGGATTTTAAAGCTGATGAAGCCCTTTGTCTTCTCCTTCATCTACACCTTCATCTTCTGTATGTCTCTGTTGGCTCATCTCTCCATCATTTCCCTGATTTCTCTTAACTCTGTCAGCTGGAGAAGGCGAAGGAGCTGGTGTGCACCGCCATTCACGCGGGCATCATGAGTGACCTCGGCTCAGGCAACAACATCGATATCTGTGTCATCACCAGAGAAGGAGTGGACTACATCAGACCCTACCAGGAGTCACAGTACAAAGACAACAGGTAGGCCCGTATGAGCATGACTTTATTCAAGAAGAACAGATTCAGTGGTACCATATTTGAAGAGAGTTTTGTTGAGTTTTTATGTTGAACCATATTTGCAAATCAGATTTTCTTCTCAGCGAGTAGTGAATATCTTTAATCTGTCGTTGTCACTGTGTTTATGAATTCAATTAAACTATCTATCTATCTATCTATCTATCTATCTATCTTTTCTCTCCTAGGAAAATGAAATACAAATATCGTCCAGGCACGACGGCGGTTCTGACAGAGAAAGTAGTCCCCTTAAGGCTGGAGGTTGTACAGGAGACCGTGCAGCAGATGGATACAGCCTGAGCCACAATGCACAATCACATACAGACGAAAACATTTAGCATTTCTTAAGTCTTTAATTACACTGTCATCATGGTTTATGTTCTGCTGCTGTGCTTCACTGTGATGTGAAGAAGAGTAGGCCACAATGAGAAGACTGTAACATGTTTTCACAATATGCAATGATAATAAAAAATATTGAATAAATTTCAGTTTGATCCCTGTTTCCTAATTTCTTTTCATGATTTGTTATTTGTCTTTACTGTGCTTATTATTATT